CTGATATATTCTTAAAATGAGGCTCAAACTACCTGTCTTGGAAGCAGTTTCTGATCTTTCAGAGAGAGCTGACAATTTCTTCCATTATCCACACCTTGAATTTATCTCTAGGACCTGTGCAGCATATATTTGATTACATCTGTATCTTGCTTTTTAGACTGTTTCCTGAAGTAGAGTGATCTAAATTTCAGTTAACATATAGAAGCTCAATGAATGCATATTCCAAAAATCTGGCACTAAGATTCAACTTCATAATATTTAAAGGAACGTACATTTAAATAAAAAGTTAACCATATTTAAAAGTAAATTGGTAAAGATTTTTTTTCCAAAGAGTGGTGGGAATTTTAGTGACTAGTATTGGCAAGACAGAAGAAACAAGAACTTTATGCACCATTGGAATAAATGTGAATTAAGACCGACTTTCTAGTAGAAAATAATATCTGTCAAGAGCAGAAAAATGTTCATACATTTTGATCTCCTAATTTTTATTCCTTAGGGCATTGTAGAAAATGTAAACAAATGGAACCAAAGATAAATATTAAAATATTATTTTGATACCAGAAAAGTTAAAAATGTTCTAATTGTCCAATAGCAGGTGATAGCTTAAATAAATTGTAGTGCATCTTATAACAGATCAGCAATGAAAAATCATTCTTGGAAAGAGTATTTCTTGATATGAAGAAATACAAAGTAGTCTTAAGTGACAAGAAGAATGCAAACTTTTTTAAAAATACAATTCCAATTTTGAAACTTTTGAGTAAAATGAATGACATTTGCTAGGATATTCCCAGTCCCTCAGGCTTTTGGGGTTTATTCTTTTGATAATTACCTATCAGAATGGTATTGTATATTGAAACTATCTGGTTTTAGTTTCAGCAAAACTCCCAAGATGATTATATGGGACCACCGTGCTGACTTGTAAAGGAGGGCATTCAGGACTAGCTATCCTCAGGCTGAGGAGATAAAAAGGCCCAAAGTCGGAGGGTTGAAGAGGACGGAGAAGGAAGTTTCTTGGTGTGTGGTGAATCACTCACTTGCAAGATAGAAGAGAGGGAGTGCTTGCCCCCCCATTCAAGCTTAGAAAAGGGAGTAAAGGAGACATGCAGAGAGTTTAACATAGTTGCATGTACCTAATATTTGGGGGAACACAGTGGATTTCTGTCTGCTTCACGCTTGAGACATCCAAAGCGCAAGGACCTGGCTGGTTGGTTGGTTTCTCTGATAGCGGAGTGGCAGAATTGGTGGTGTTGGCCAACTTACACTCCTAAGGTCTTTTTGGACAAAAGATGTTTGGGTGTGAACCATGGGCCAGAGTGATTGACCCACCTGAATGAGGGTTAACTCTGATGATCTACAGCAGGTGGAATTGTATTTCTCAAGGCTGAAGAAGGAGCCAGCAGCAGCCAGAGATGAATTTCCTTGCTTGAAGAGAAGTGCAGATGAGAAATGCACAGCAATAGTTTAACATCTGTGACAAGCCTAGGAAGGTGCCCACAAAAACCCTGCCCGGTTCCAGGAACACCTACAAAAAAAAGCAGGACTTTCCTGCCCCTTTCCACCTCCCTAACCTAATCCACCTACAACTCCAGTGAGGATGGGAACTGAGATTGACAAGATGGGGGTGGGGCTATCAAAGAGCGTAAGCAAGTCAGCAAAGAGAAAAGAAGCCCAGGAGGCATTCCTGGTGAAAAGTTAACATTTTGTTTATTATTCTGGACATATTAACTACTATACTGTTTTTTATCATCAGAAAATGATTAGAAAAGTAGTAAGACTTCTTCCAAATTTAAGCCGGGGCAAAAGATATTTAACCTCAAAAAATAAAGGGTTGGAAGGATACAAATATAGTTGCTTTTAAATTGCATCCTGTAAGTCATGCTTGTGTGATGTAGCTAATATATAGAAATAAAATTATCTCCATCTCATGCTTAGGAAAATGCAGCATTCACCTGTCTCCCCCAGCACAGCACCTCCAAGAATTCTCTGGGTATGTATAACACATTCCTGCTTCTGTCTTATCCTTTAAAGCTGCCCTTTTCTCTCTGGACTACACTAACCCAAACATGAGGACATTTCCCTTAATGTTTGAAAACTATCTCCCACAAAGGCAGTTATGTTTAATAGACCCTTGCTGACAATTTGGGGTTATAGGCAAGGAGTACCTTTTTGTGTGTAATACAGAGTTAGTTTAAAATTAAATATTAGACACGATGGATCCTGGAAGTTCTTTGGCCATACCCATGTCATGGAGTTTCATCCTGCTCAGTTTCCAAATGTCAAGTTGCCCATCTCCTAACTATGTTATTGACCTTCACACTCTCAGGAAATCCTTCCCATATGTTTCCCAGTTCTTTCAATTTTTAACTGGACCTTGGAGTCAAGTTACAAAACATCTTCTTGTCTTAGTTTCCTTATATATTAAATTGGGGTAGTATTTGTAGTTACCACATACTGGAAAGATTAAATGGGCTGACACATAAGAAGCATTAGAATAATGTCCAGTACAGAGTAGATATTAAAATACTCAAAGATAATTAGGTACCTAAGGTAATAAAGAATTTAAAGATAACAAAAAACTGCTTGGTTATTCTACTCATTGTTATTGTGCCTTAGAGTGTAAGGTAGTATGAGGGTAGTTTCCTTCTTCTGTGAAGAGAACTCTAACTATTTTCTAAGTGAAACAGTTCTCACCCCAATAGAATGTGTTATCTTCTTGAAAATATTTTTGTCTCCAGAACATTTAGGTAAAAATATAAAGTAAAAGATCAGTAGGAGATAGACTAAAATAAATCCACAGATTCTGTATTTTACTATAAACAAGACTTATACAGGAATACCCTATTAAAATTGTTAAATATATAAGGCTTGTCATTCTAGCAAACACCATTACTCTCCCTTGAGGTCCAAATATTTTCTCCACAAGGTCTGAATTGTGCATCTTCTTTCCTCTCCCTGAGGGCATTTTCCTCATGATGGGGGAGAAGTCGATCACTGGCCGGCTGCTTTGACGACTTCAACCAATTCTCTCTCTGACCTCAGTTAAGACTTCTGTGCCACGCATTTTTCAAGTTATTCTTTATCTTCTTAAATTTTCTTTAATATTTAAAAAAGAATAATCTTATTACCTCAATGGCCACCAGTTTTAACTGTCCAATGAGAAGTGGGAATAAAGTATGGGCATAATGACGTGTCTCTTTAAAGGTCTTTTGATATCCTTTTATCATCTCAAGTACTGTTTGTCTTCAGTTAACCTTTTTATTTGAACCTTTTTATATGATTTAATATATTTAATTGAATGTGCAATGTTTCTAAAGTCAAATTTACTTTCCTCTCTGTATAATCAACATGTTTTATATCAAGCAGAGGCTTCAACTTATTTTATAATAGTAAGTTACATTGTTTATTCTTCCCTGTACATAAGATATAAAGAGAAAACTATCCAAAGTCAAGTATCAGGAGTATGTAATACATATCTTATTTTTATATCATATTTACAAGAATAATGATGCTTCCTTAAGAAGATATATAAATGTCTACTTGACGAAAGACGGGAAAATGCAATTGATAATGCGATCATTAAATGCCTTAATCTTCTGCAAACTGGGGTCTGGTTATCTGGCTGTAGAGACCCATTTGAAGTTATCTTCACCAATTCAAAGTCCATGAAACTACTCTAAAAAAGAGAATATAGGAGCTCAATTGTATAATTCCACTATCAAATTCATTTCCATTTACAGGCACATGGAACCTTCTGCCCAAACTATTTTCAGGATATTCAGAAAGGAGTTAACAAGCAGGCCTGAGCGTGCTATCTTCAGAAAGGCTTGTGTGCGAGGTTAGCCCATGGTTAGAGGCTGGAAACTAAATTATAAAGAGTCCCCTATACTGACATAAAGCATCTTTAAAGGATAAGTGGTTCACTATGACTAAGCTGTTTGTACAAATACCGTTTCATCATGCACACCTACTTGCCATCTGGGAATCTGGAATTTTGACCCATGCTAAGAAGAAGGTAACCACATGACCATTTTCTAAATACCTTGAGCATTGAGTCTCCAATCACCTTCTCTGGTAGATAACACTTCACATATGTTATCAAACTCATGGCTGGCGGGATTCAGCAGGTTGTGGATGACTTCACTGAGAGAGGACTCTTGGAAGCTTGTGCCCAGTTTCCTGCAGATTTTACCCCATGTGCCATTTTATATACCGATTTTACTTTGTAACCGTTCAGTATCATAAGCATTTAGCTTTGAATACACTATATGCTGACTCCTTCCAGGAAACCTGGGAGTGTTGGGGACCTCTAACACACAGGGTGGATTGAAATGTCTATGTTGAGATATACAGATTCTAAATAAAAAATTTATTAACTACAAACTATGTGATGGCATTATATTCTGTGAAACCAAGACAAGTAGCCTAGACCTGTTTTAAGAAATTCAAAATGTGGTGGTTATGTTTGTACACAAAAGTGTATAAAAAGAATATTCAATGAACTGAGTCAAAGCAGAATAAGGAAGAACACAACAAGGTTATTTCAATGGGAGTTTTGAAATGGTACACACTTCATTTGTTCAAATTCTCAGGAAAGCTAGAGACATGTAAGTGAGCCTCAAAAGGACAAGTAGGTTTGGGCAGGTTATGGTACCTGGAGGCAGGAAGAAGGGGAGTTTTGGAAGATTTCCCTTGAAACTTTGTAAATGGATGGAAGGTATGATAAAGTGAAATATAGAGTATATTGAAGGAATAAAATAGAACAGTAAGTGTTACATATAGTACAAAGTGGAATTTTCAAATGCTCTTGTTTAAAATTTGGATGCTTTGAATGTCCTATTTGTGGCTTAATTCTATGCAAAACTTATGGATTATTATACAAGGTCCATCAAAATTCTATTGCATTGCAAAAGTGTCCTTCTCAAAGACAGGCATAGAATTTATGTTCTACTGGTTTCTAAGTATGTTTTTTCTTTTCTGTCTTTTCTCTGTTCAGGTCCATCATGAGTGAGAAATGGGACTCATACTCTTCAGAAAATTGGCATCGTACTTTGAGTATCAATGACACCAAGTATTATCTCTACGCAGATAACAATATAACCTATGTGAACTACTATCTTCATCATGCTCGAGTGGCAGCGATCTTCATTATTTCCTACTTTCTGATCTTTTTCCTGTGCATGGTGGGAAATACAGTGGTCTGCTTTATTGTAATGAGGAACAAACATATGCACACAGTCACTAATCTCTTCATCTTGAATCTGGCAATAAGTGATTTACTAGTAGGCATATTCTGTATGCCTATTACGCTTCTGGACAACATTATAGCAGGTATATTGACTTATATGCAGTGCAAGATGGTATGAGAAAATGTGTGTCCCATCTCCCTGCAGCCATGGCTGGGTTACCATTCATTACTTTTATATAACTTACAAGGTGAAACCCCAATAAATCTAATATCCACCCTACATCATTCATAGTTATTACTATATTATTGGCTATATTCCCTATATTGTAATTTATGTCCCCATGACTACTTTGTAACTGCCAACTTATACATGTTAATTCCTTCACCTTAGAGTGTTCACTGAATATCACCACAGAATGAGATCTAGCATATATTACCAATGACTTTGAGTTTGCTTAATACAGTTCAAAGCACATATAATAGGGTAGAAATATTACTGAGAATATTATGGAATGTAAAGTTCAAGGAATAGGTAAGTCTGGTTTCAACTGATGCATTGTCTTCAATCAAATATAAATATATATTTAGACACTCTTGTGGTTAGCTAGGGAGATTTCTAACAGTTTTTGATGAAAGCAGTCCCAATGATTTCTCATAAAGTCGAAGTTTCATCAGTGGTGAATTACATGTGCAACATCAGTGTAATGACTAAGTACAATGCTAGAGTATTTCTGGGCCTGTGTTACTTCTTCTATTACCCTACATTATATACTCTGGAAGCACAAGAACAGTGTATCTCCAACTCCCAGCACAGCTTTGGAACATAGTACCTGTTTAACAAATTTTATATTAATTAATGAATAGTATTCAAGATATTCATATTCCTGTCTGTAAGAAAAAATGAAACAATAGCAACATACCAAAAAATGTAGAGCAGCATGAGTCATTTCATAGTTCTTACCTTTTCATAACATTCAACATCTGTTTGCTAAAGAATAAGAGGTTTCTCTATAGAATTTACCTGTTTCCTTCTGTGGCGTGGGAGCTCAGACAGTCTATTCCATCACTATGTACTTCATAGGTCATGTGTCTATGATCTATGAGGGAAAGAATTGATAGAAATTATTCTCAAGAAACCTATTTATCAAGAAGAAGTACTCTCAACATTCCCTCTGTAAACATTTGTAATTAAATTATTAAAAAATTTTCCATATATATTACCCTTCCTTATCTCTTGATTTGAACTGCCAGGAGGTGGCTATATTCAGCAATTTTTGCCTTTATTTTTGGTAATGACTATCATATTTCTAACTAATATGTTTTCCTTATAATGTGTTATCTTCAAACTGTAGAGCTGTAATTTACTTTTCATAACCCTTTTCTACCAAAAACAGTAGTTTTCCTTTCCAGACTCCACTGTAATGGCAGGGCAGGGACAAAAGAACATAAATCTGTAGAAACTACATGTCAGATACTATTGAGTGCGAAGTTGGGAAAACAACAAGACTGGCTGATACACATTCACACTCCTCCTCTCATTCTCTCAATGTCATTATATCATAGTTTTTGGTCAACTCAATATTCAGAGTATACATTCCTATTATATGTATCTTACCCCCACAGAGTCAAGTGGAGTGCTATGATGGCCATTTCTCTATTATAAAATGTTTTCTTTTTCCTGGATTTAAAAAAGGCATCATATTTTGATTTGTTTCATTTTAGGTATGTACCTGTTGGTAACATGTTCTCAGTTTCTCTTCCAAGAATGTTGATTTCTTGTCAATATTTTCAAACATAGGCGGTAACCTATAAATTGCTGCTTCTTTTCCTGGAGCTAATCTCCTGGTGCTCTTGATGTTTTGTTTCCATCCAGACACAGTGTCTTCCAGGCAGGGAGATCACCTACTGCTATGGGATGTCCCTGAACTGAGACCCTAACAATCTCTTCACCCCTCCCAATCAATCCTCTGTTGTCTGGATGCCATTTCTTTTTTCTCGGTTTATTTCTCTGTTATCTTCCAGAGAAAGGGTGAATCGAGATTAAAGTGTTAGAGATCTCGTAGATCTGCAAATATCTTTATTCTGCCCTCATACTTGACTACTTAGCTATATAAAGTATTATTGATTGGACATGTTTTCCTTCCAAATACTTAAAGAGACTGCTCTACCATTATTCCTGAGAAACCTGATGTTACTGCTGAAAAAAAACCAATGCCGTTTGACTGTTGATCCTTTTACTCATGATTTGTATTTGGTTTTTCTTCCTGAAAGTTCTTGGGGCTTTTCTTTACCCTCGGTGTACTGAATTTCAGGCGATTATGCATTGAAGTATCCTTTTTATATTTCATTTATTGTGGTGGACACAAACCAGGTCCCTTCAAACAAAAATTAAATGCCCTTCAATCCTGGAGAATTTTCTTATAGAGTTCTTTCCTGTTTTCCTTTAACTCCTATTTATCAGATATTTGAGATTTGAGTTGCCCACCACATCTTTTTAAAATTTTTTCTTCCATTTTCTGCCCCATATTGTTCTACTTTCAAAGATTTTCTTAGCATTTTCTTCCAGGCTTTATGTTGAGTTCTTCATTTCTATTATCATATTTTAAAATTTTTGAGCTACTTTTATATTCTGTATGTTTCTTATACTCTCATGCACATGTTTCAGGGATATCTTTGAGGTTATTCATAATAACTCATGTTTGCTTTTCATTTTTCATCTACCTGATTCATATTGGTTTTCTCCTAAATTTCTTATTTCCAGTTTGTTTTAGACTCTTCTATTTAATGTTTCCTCAACGTCAACTGCTACTTAGCTGCTTGTGCATCAGAATGAGACACTGTGTGTCTGCCTTGAACTTCTGCACGCACTGGGGATTCAGGTTATGACCACCCTCGACTTCATTAGTCTGGGCCATTCATTGAGAAATCCACAACTGTTAAAATCTGCATGTCTCTTCTTGGGAGGCTCACTTTCCCCAGAAGGAAATTCTCTGATCTGCTGCCATAGGTATATAGGGCTGACTCATTGTTGCATTCTAGACCGAGTGGGCCAACGGTGTCGCATGCAGAGTGTGCACTTCCATTTAATTCTGCATCATTGGGACACCCCCGCCCCCTGCACCTACAGACTCAGAGTCTAGAACTACCACACTTCCCCCTCCTTAGAGAGTTACCCCCATTCTTCTGCTCACCTGGAAAAAGCCAGCATCATCTGGTTGCATTTTTACATAATTCAGCCAGTAGCAGTTTTTGCCCAACTTTACATTCAGTAGTATCTTCCACCTCAGTTTCTATGGATTTATGTTCTTTTTGTCTCAATACTATCATTTCAGTGGAGTTCAGTCAGAGAAATGAGGTAAATTGTATACTTTTTCTATTTTCAACCAATGGCTATACACATTCTCATGCATTTTTTGTTGAAAATACTGTATCAAACAAATAAATTTTAGGACTGAGAAGACACATTTTCTTTTGGTTTATTCAGTAGAATCACTCAGACACTTACTGCAAAATGGTCTGGATGGATGATAAGTGTTTATTTGTTTTTTGAAGATAATGTTTGGATTATTTAGGTTACTGGGTATATTTTTAACTAGATATGTGGGAATATTAAAAAACACAAAATATTCTTGAGTTAAATATTTAAAGTCTGAGGAATATGTAGCATTTATCTTTTGGGAAACTAGAATATTTGCTAGTAGCAGAATAAGTTACTTTCTTAACAGCAGATGGGTCTTTAGAATATCAAACTGCTATAATAATTTTACTAATTTCTTTTATGAACATTCTGGTAACTGAGGTTCACTTAAGGAGGAATTCAAATAGACTACTTTTGTTCATGCAAAGTGTTCTTTATTCTCAATGTGTATCTTAGCCAGCTCAGGCTGCTATAACAAAATACTGTAGAGTGGGGTGGAGGCTTAAAGAGCAGGCATGTATTTTCTCACCAATCTGGATGTTTAAAGTTCAAGATTGAAGTGACAGCAGGGTCAGGTTCTTGGTGAGAGTACTTTTCCTGGTTTGTTGACAGCCACTCTGTTGCTGTTTGTTCTCCTGGCCTTTCCTTAGTACGTGTATATGGAGAGAGACCTATCTCTCTCTTTCTCTTTTAACAAATCCCATTAAGTGGGCAACACCCTCATGGCCTCACCTAAACCTAATTACTTCCCCAATGCCAAATCTCCAAATACCATCACATTGGGGGTTCAGGCTTCAATATGTAAATTGGGGGAGGGGGTGGGCACAAACATTTTTTGAATAACAAATTATCTTTCTGGTAATTTGTTTCATTACATTATATATAAATAAACATTAACTTAATTCTACCTGTAACTGCTCCTAATTTATGGTGAACATTTCCAAGTTAGAATACTAATTTCTACCTGTTTTATTCATTTAAAGGGCATTATTATTGTATAAGAGACCATTGTCTGGACTCTGGAACCAGACTGCTAGGGTTCAGTTCCTAATACAATGCTAACCAGCTGTGTGGCAAGTCATGTGATGCTTGTGTGTTTGTTACCTAGTCTATATCATGAGGTGAATAATAAAGCCTTCAAAAGCCTACTGTGGAGGATTAGATATGTTAATAGATAGAAAGCACCATTCCAGTGCCTAGAATTTGTCACTACTATGTGTTTTGACATTGTTATTAGTGTAGTAAAAACAGCTCTGAAGATACTAATGAAAAGAATGGGAAACATTGATTGTTACATGGATATCATGTAGAAAAGTTACTTCATTTCATGCCTTTCTGTTTATATTTTCAGTGAAATTTTTTAAAAGTGATTTTTCAAAGACTAACTGTTCCTTTCCCCTTTCAGGGTGGCCATTTGGAAGCGTAATGTGCAAAATCAGTGGTTTGGTTCAGGGAATATCAGTTGCAGCTTCAGTCTTTACTTTGGTGGCAATAGCAGTTGATAGGTAAGTCAGCACCAAAATCTGAATCCAGAGAAATGGGCATATTTGCATCTAATCCACCTAACCAGAGGAAAATGTATAATCTACTAAATTAGGTTGTGTGTATAGAGAGGATATACAAGGTATGTCTAGAAAGTATACAGCCATGTAGTATGAAAAATAGAGATATTTACCGAAGAAGGTACAAGATATGAGAAACATTGTACGGTGGACAATGATACCTCAGTCCCCTTTCAAATAGCCATGTTGGGACCTCACACAGTTCTCCCAATCGCTATCAGCTGCCCCACTGTATTTTCCTGAATTTCATTGACAGTCTGAAATCTCTCCCCTTTCAAAGGTCATTTTAGTTTTGGGAAAAGCCAGAAGTTCAGGGTGCCTGGGCTTGTAGGGGGGCTGAGTCACCTGGGTGATTTGATGTTTCACAAAAAACTCTGCACAAGACATGATGCATGAGCGGGCACATTGTTGTGATGAAGCTGCCAATTACCTGTTGCCTATAGCTGTGACCTTCTGAATCATCCAAATAGTTTCTGTGGAGGCATTTTCAAGCTTTATGCAAAATTTGATGGAGATTCTACTTGCTCGGTCATTTTAAATGTGATGGCCACACAGTACACATGCTCACTCATGGGCATCTACCACCTCACTGGCAGTGAATTGGTCATTGTTCATACATGCGCATTCCAGTCTACTCTCCTTGGCTGCCAGGTTACATAGGTGCCATGCAAACCATTCTCGTTAGATTAACAATGGCTGGGCTTTTTCTGGATAGACCTCATACACACACACACACACACACACGTGTGTGTGTGTGTATATATATATATATATATATATATATATGAGAATAAAGAAGTATATATGAGAGAGAAAACATAGAATGTAATATAATTGTTGACATCAAAAAACTTGGTAGATTCTATTTTTAATATTAATCTATTGTTTCCATCATTAGTCACAATGTTTAATCCATTTCTAAGAGCTTATCATGTATATTCAGTTTATTTGTTTTGCAAGAAATGAGAATAGAATTTAAACACATCCTAACCACTCTATGCCAAAGATTTTTTTACATTGTTTCCAAATTTATTATATGCTGTTACTATTATACTAAATTATTTTTGCATATTATTTTTTATAATTATATGCATCTTATACTAGTAAAAGTAGTACTATTACTAAATAATTTTAGTATGAATGTTTATAATAGATTGTATACCTTAATTATATAATATGTATGTTATCTTCATAGCAAATAAAAACCTATAACATCCTTTTTATTTTCTCCTTGAATCTTGAGCCTATCACTTTTATTTCCACATTATGTTTAGTGCTGACTCATTTTTCACTGTTTCTAGCATGCCTTCTGAAACAGAGATTTAGAAATATTGTTCTTCATTATAAAAAGTAAATAAGATTAGAATATTAAGTAAATTGGAATATATTTGATGAAAACTATACAGTGGTTAAAATTAATGAACTAGTTAATTTCAACAAAGTCACATCATAATACATGCAACATGGTGCCATTATATAGGATTTAAAGTGTTACAGAGGCAAGCTAGTACTATGAAAGCATAAAAAGTTTGACAGTAGGGATACATATCAACTTGAGGATTTCTGTGGAAAGAGGAAGATGACTGGGATTAAGTAGCTCTACCAAGGGAATTTCAACTGTATCTCTGATGTTTTAGGTTTTTTTAAAACTGATGATCATTTAGTTACCTGCTGTGGTTTAATATACAATGTCACTTTCTCTCTTTCCATCTGTGCATCACTTTGCAATAGTTTCAGTCATCTATTGCTATATAACAAGTCACTTCCGAAACAAACCATTTAGTGGCTTAAAATTACGACAGTATTTATCATGCTTATGAAGTTGTGATGTGAACAGATTCAGCAAGTATCGATGGCATTACAGGTGCTGAATTTCTACCTTACTCACTTTTGCCTCTTTTAGTACATACACATGTATATCCACACTTAAATGGTGAGTAAAAGGGGAAAATTCACCAATCAGAAGACTAGAAGTAAACTTGAGGTTAAGAGAGAAGACCTTATGCGTGCAATGGGGTAGTTCTAAAGGACAACAGAGCAGTCAGAGCTCAAGCTAACTATTCACTACAGGAAGGTATGTCAGATTAATTAATTTGGAGTTGCTACTGGACCATGTAAATGCTCTAAGTTTTCTTACCTGCAAACCTGGAAAGTAATAATTTTCATAACATTTCAGTTTTAAAAGAGCCATCACAAAAATGAAAGAAGATTAAATAGGTGATAGTACTTTGAAAAATATAAAATGTTATACAGTTGCATAACGGTATGATTATCTTATAATTAACACGAGTATCAGTAATCATAACATCAAGAATCACAATAACAAAATAGGAATAACATGAATGAGACTTACTTTACATACTGATGCTGAACTTCCATGCTCACCAGAGGACAGGCCACTGGGAAGGTGCACAATCAGAACTCATAATGGAAACCCTTAGACTCTTATTGCTGTGAAACAAGCCACCAAACTACATAGTGGCTTAAAACAATAATTCTGTAATATTTGCCATGATTCTGTGGATTGGCTGAGTCCCTCCCGTAGTCCTCCTGCTCAGTGATTTGTAGCTGAAGTCCGTCATGCTGTGACATGGCCCTGGGAGCCAAACCGGGGCTGGAACCTCCCAGATGGCCAGCCTCTCATGCCCGAGGATCTCTCTACACAGCGCCTCTCATCTAATTCGAGCTTCTTTACAACCTGGGAGCTGGCTTTCAAGAGGAAGGATTCCAAAAGTACAAGCCCCACTATGCAAGTATATAAACAGCCTCTGTTTATGTGATGCTTGCTCATGTCCCATTGGCCAAGGCAGGCTGCATGGCCAAGCACACAGATAACATGGGCAAGGACCTCAGGAGGTCATGAAGAAGAGTTTAAGAATATGGGCCCTGGAGCAAATCTACTTGTATAAAAACTATGTGTAGTTATGGGCAATATTTCTATATTTTCTAATTCTAAGCCTGTTTTCCCATGTTTTAAATTATGAAGCATCAAGCGATAATTCATGAAAGCCCACAGGAAAGAATGAAACAGCGTATTACATATTTATGTTCAGTAAATAATAATTACCACTATTACTTTTATTAATAATAGTGTCGGCCATACTCTACTTATTCCTATTTTGAATTGGAATTTATCTCAATTACAGAAAACGTCAGTGCATGCCTTTCTACTACTAATGGTAATTTTCTATGTTTTTGAGAAGAATATGGGAATTACTTAAATATTTCACAACTCAGTCAGAAGTTATGAGGCACTGCCTCTACTGATATTTGCCTTTAATTGCAGGTTTCGGTGTGTTGTCTACCCTTTTAAACCCAAGCTCACTATCAAGACAGCATTTGTCATTATCGTGATCATCTGGGTCCTGGCCATTGCCATTATGTCTCCATCTGCGATAATGTTACATGTACAAGAAGAAAAGTATTACCGAGTGAGGCTCAACTCTGTGAATAAAACCATGCCAGTCTACTGGTGCCGCGAAGATTGGCCGCATAAGGAAATGAGAAAGATCTACACCACTGTGCTGTTTGCTAACATCTACGTGGCTCCCCTGTTTCTCATTGTCATCATGTACGGAAGGATTGGAATTTCACTCTTCAAGGTGACAGTGCCTCACGCAGGGAAGCAGAACCGGGAGCAGTGGCATGTGGTGTCCAAGAAGAAGCAGAAGGTCATTAAGATGCTCCTGATCGTGGCCCTGCTTTTTATTCTCTCCTGGCTGCCCTTGTGGACTCTGATGATGCTCTCAGACTATGCTGAACTGTCTGCAAATGAACTGCAGGTCATCAACATCTATGTCTACCCATTTGCACACTGGCTGGCCTTTTGCAATAGCAGCATCAACCCCATCATTTATGGTTTCTTCAATGAGAATTTTCGCCGTGGTTTTGAAGATGCTTTTCATCTCCAGTTCTGCCAAAAAAGAGCACAGCCCAAGGAAACCTATGCCCTAAGGGCTAAAAACAATGTGGTCATAACTACATCTCATCAGTTAGCTCATGAACCTAAAAATCAAAACCCACATGAGGAAAATTTGCTTTAGAGAAAGGGCTGAAATCCCCAAACAGGAATTGATGGAGGAACTAGGAGCAGCTACCAACAGTAATGAGATTTAATGAAGAGCTAATGTGATTGTTCTAACTCTACTGTGATATATATTGAAATACTGTTGCTTTCTATGGCTTTGTACTTCAATTGTCTCTAAGAATGTTCCAAAGAAAATATGCATAGAAAGTCCTCTCTGAAAAAGAATAAACAAAATGGTCTTATGTTCATAACTAATCTTATGGTATATAAAATACGCTAAGTGACTAATACATAAGTTTTCCTGGATAAATCCATTTTCCAGGAACATATTTCAATGCTTGATCTTTTTCAACTTAACTATTTATGTATGAGACAAGCATGTGTATTATGTCTATTGATGTGCACACACAGAGCCCCCATGTGGTGACAAATAGGCAATTCTTTGCATGAGAGCACATTTTGTCAATTCTTCCTTTGCTTTTGTATTTGAAATTATAAACTAAAAATTATCTCCTTGTGCTTTTGAAATATCTTTCTTAGAAATAAGAACTACAATGGCAAATTAAAGGACATTGTATTTCTTTGTATTAAAGGTTGATTTTATTTTAAGGAGTACAGTTAAAGTTGGTAAAATCATAACATTGTTTCATAGGAGTTATTGTTGGTTTCTTAAAAATATTTTTATAAATGAAGTTTATGCCCTAACTGAGCCCATGTTTCTTACAGAGGTGATTCAGGACCCAATTTAACCTCCTTGTTAATAGAGTCTCTGACATAAAAAAACCCAGATCTTTCAATAATGGAGAAGTTGGCAGAATAATGGCCGCTCTCTTTTGGATTGCTTAATCAGAATTGCTTAACAATCATCCTAAGACTCCCATAAAGTCTGTACAGAGCAAAACCAATTATTCCAAATTTCCTACTGAGCACAGCATTAAAGCCGGCACTCCTACTGGTTTAACAAATGAGTACTACTATTATACAGAGAATTACAATGCCTTGGATTCTCCTATGTTACAATTATGTTGATCATTGTTGTAAATGCTAGCTTTTAGGCTGATATAAGTCTCTAAAAATTGGGAATTTTAAAATAGCAAATAGTCTGGCCAATAAAAATAAATCTCTGGTCTTGGAACTATCATGTTTTTCCAGTCATTTATATAGTTCAAGCTAAAAGCTTTTCAACATTATCGACTTTGAGAAAATAATTGTTGAGTTTTCAGTTGAATTGAGCTGTGTGATATTTGAATATGCAAGCATCACTTTTGCAGTTAGAGAGGGCAACTTTTTGAAGTCTTGTTAGGCAGTCTTTCAAATTCAGGTTTGTTTGTCTACTGTGCAGTTAAAATAGTACACTGAAATACAGTGCTGGGAGGCAGAGAAAGGTTGATTTGAACTGGCGAAAGCAAGAGGGCTAGGACTGGAGAGCAAGATCCTCAAAAAGCAAAAATAGGGTGTTTTTATGTAGCTGGGGAATAGGGAAGGGGTTATGTCATGGAACTGAGGGAGAAGTTTGTGTTTCTTCTGTTTCAAATAACACTTTGTGCCACAAGACCTTTGGTCGTGAGCAGATGGTCACAACTTTCTTTTTCTTTTCTTTTTTTAAGGTTTTATTTATTTATTTTTAGAGAGGAGAAGAGAGGGAGAGAAACATCAATGTGTGGTTGCATTTTGCACGCCCCCTGCTGGGCACCTGGCCTGCAACCCAGGCATGTGCCCTACAGTGGTTTCTTCGATGAGAATTTTCACCGTGGTTTTGAAGATGCTTTTCATCTCCAGTTCTGCCAAAAAAGAGCACAGCCCAAGGAAACCTATGCCCTAAGGGCTGAAAACAATGTGGTCATAACTACATCTTATCAGTTAGCTCATGAACCTACAGTGGGAATTGAACCGGAGACCCTTTGGTTCACAGGCTGTTGCTCAGTCCACTGAGCCACACCAGCTAGAGCAACAATTTTCTTAAAGGCATTCCTTCTGCATGGTAAACTCAAGGTCACATATATTCTCCTTGTGACCCTGGGGCTATCTTGTCCTGCTTGACAGAGAAGCTACATCAGCAACTTAAAATTGTAAGGTGAAAACAAGGGGTGCTTGATAGGAAGAGCAGTTAACATGTGTAAGCAAACAATTACATGGGTCCAACTATAAATTTATGTATAGAACTTGATCTTATATTCCTCTGCCCTAATTTATAAAAACACTGTTTACAGTTGGTGTACTTCGATGTTGGAGGTTAGTTTGTTAGAGATTGTCACTTTCTGATGGGCAGCCTCACATTCTGCTAGTTCCTGAAAATCACCATAACTAACTCCTTATCTGTTACCTGTCTACATTTTATCACCTTGAGATCCTTATTACCTATTTCCTAAGAGTTGCAAACTCTCTTCCCTGAATCCCATCTTGGCTTTCAGTCCTGTCTCTCAATTCACTCTATAGTTGGCAGCGTCTCCTTCCTGAAAGAGGAATTAGTTTGTTCTCCTTTGTTAAAATACCTTTGAAAGCTCTCTGTCTGATAAAACTTGCACAGATGCTCAAACCCTTCCTTCGTCTGGCTCTTGTCTCTGGTTTCATCTACAATACAAATTGTTTTCTAAACTTCAGTTAAACTGAGATGGTTAGCCTAGATTACTGTACTTTTTTCATTTGCTTCTTATTCTCTGCTTTATTCCCCAATCTGCCTGTTTACACTTTCTCCAAGGTCTATTAAAAAGTTACCTCTCAAAAAAGTGTGTATTCTTACCGAAGTGTGTACTTCTCTTCTAAGCATTGTAAACCTCTTGCATGAAAACCTCAGTTGTATAGAAATTGTTCTGTCTTATCCTTCCATCTAGAATATTAATTCCTCAAGGGCATGTACTCCCTTCCTTAAGCATGGTGCACCTCTTGTATAACAACCTCAATTGTAGTCTAAGTATTGTGTTCTATCTTTGCAACTAGAAAATAAAGTCCTCGAGGGCATGATGAAGTAAGCCTTACTGGTTTTTAGAGGCCCTACAATGTGGCCTTGTTTGCAACAAGAACTCTTATCTTTTATTGAGCCTTATGTGCCAGAAATTTTATATAAATTTGTATTGTTTCTTCCCATTTTATAAATATTAGAATTGGAACTCAGAGACAGTAAATGACATCTAAAACTGTACAGCCAAATTCTAAGTAATCCCTGATGGGACATAGGTCTCCATGTAGTTTCAAAGCCTCTGCTCTTTCATCAGATTGTATTTCTAGATGGAGCTTCCTTGAATATTTCACATAAAACATTTTTTTAACTTCTAAGTTTCTCTTATAAACACCCATCAGCAGCAGTTTGCTGGTAAACAAGTATCCTAAACTAAAAATAACATGAATGCTCATTCAGGCAGTTGAGTGTAGATGCAGAGAACAGGCTGGAGTTTGAAATACTGGAATTTTAACTCTGCATCTTGCTAGCTGTATAACTAACTCTGGGGAATTTACTAAGCTTTTCTATGACTCATTTTCCTATTGGTGAACAAGAAATTATGTATTTATGAAATCATTTGTAGAGACTAACAGTATCTGGTACATACAGAAAGTTGTGGCTATTAGCAATATACTGTTTTTTACTGTATATAATGCACACACACACATTTTTGGCCCAAACTTCCAGGAAAAAAAATCTTTCATTTCAATTTTTTAATTAATTAAGATTTAGATACTTGTTTTTTGTATTATAGAGGAATGTTAGCATTTATTTTTGAACATACATGTATTGTTATTGCATTTCTATATTTTTAATACGTAAGCATTAATAAAAGAATTAAAAACATTTATATAGCTATGGAATTAGTACTACCCATGTATAATGTGCATCCTTATTTTTCCCTCAGAAATTTAGGCGAGAAAGTGCATTATACATAGCAAAAAAAATGGTAAGTAGCAAATAATTTCAAGATACTTGAGTCTGTATGAGCATAAGGCTGTAACTTTTTATTTATGCCCAAAGACTAGAGACATTAGTGCCAAAATATTCCATTAAGACTATCAATATTTAACAGCCTTAAATAGGCTTAGTGAAACATAAATAAATGTTTTCCAGTTTTAAGTACTTAAAATCAATCAATGTTTCTACTAGAGTACATCTCATCTTGTAATATTCAAACATATTTTTACCTTCTTATGAAACTTTAGTCATCTAAAGGAAATGAGTCTTTGCATGTTCAGATTTTTTTGGCCTGAGTATATTGCATTCCATTGTCATGGTATGGCTCATAAGTTATAAGAAGTGTATATGTAATTTGATAAATATTCTGGTGTACTCTTTATGAAGATAATTTTGAGGAAGCCTGAACAATTTCAAGTCATCTCTTTGAAGGTTTAGTAGTCTTAGCAAACACTCTTGTGGAAGCATTTAAATATAAATCTTAAGTCATGGACATAGCAAAATCTCAAACTCCCAAAAATAAAACTATACATAATTTACTCTAATTCTGAAATCTAAAATAGTAAAAACAAATACTTAGTCTTTTTATAGGAAAAAATTGCAAGTTCATAAAATTAGAAAATCATTCAACAGTAAGTGAAACAAGATAAGACCGAATTTAAGAAATGGACAGTTAATTCAAACATGCTATCATAGGATACATAACAAAATGTAGTAACATTACTTAATGTTGGTCAAACATTTTATTATTATTGCAAACTAATGCAGTAGTATGTGACAAAATATATGGTTTTAAATATCAGACTTATGTGTGAACACTCATGCCAATATTGAAAAAAATAATAACATCATTCACCATGGTCCATAGCAAACAAAAAAAAATGGACTGCAATGGTTTAAGAGAAATTTTAATGAAAATATCTCAGTGATATGATGTTAATGGTAGAAAAATATATTGTGATGAAACTGTGAATTGAAATCCCAGCCTTGCTACTAATATATTGTATGACTTCTGACATATTACCCAACCCCTCTGGGATATTTACCAGAATTGTGTATCATCAGTGTTTTTCTTTGTTGAAATGTAGAAACAAACTCACAGAATATAGGAATTTGAG